CATGAGCATGGAACGTTTTTCCATTTCTTTGTGTCTTCCTCAATTTCTTTCATGAGTATTTTGTAGTTTTCTGAGTACAGATTCTTTGCCTCTTTAGTGAGATTTATTCCTAGGTATCCTATGGTTTAGGGTGCAATTGTAAATGGGATTGACTCCTTAATTTCTCTTTCTTCTGTCTTGTTGTTGCTGTATAGGAATGCCACTGATTTCTGTGCATTGATTTTCTCTCCTGCCACTTTACTGAATTCCTGTATGAGTTCTAGCAGTTTTGGGGTGGAGTCCTTTGGGTTTCCACATAAAGTATATCATCTGCAAAGAGTGAGAGTTTGACTTCTTTTTTGCTGATTCGGATGACTTTTATTTCTTTTTGTTGTCTATTGCTGTGGCTAGGACTTCTAATACTATGTTGAATAGCAGTGGTGATAGTGGACATCCCTGCAGTGCTCCTGACCTTAGGGAGAAAGCTCTCAGTTTTTCCCCATTGAGAATGATATTCATGGCTTTTATGATATTGAGGTATGTACCCTCTATCCCTATACTCTGAAGAGTTTTGATCAAGAAGGGATGCCGTACTTTGTCAAATACTTTTTCTGCTTCTATTGAGAGGATCATATCATTCTTGTTCTTTCTCTTGTTAATGTATTGTATCACATTGATTGATTTGTGGATGTTGAACCAAATTGTAGCCCAGGGATAAATCCCACTTGGTCATGGTGAATAATCCTTTTAATGTACTGTTGGATCCTATTGGCTAGTATTTTGGTAAGAATTTTTGCATCCATGTTCATCAAGGATTTTGGTCTGTAATTCTCCTTTTTGATGGGGTCTTTGTCTGGTTTTGGGATCAAGGTAATGGTGGCCTCATAAAATGAGTTTGGAAGTTTTCCTTCCATTTCTATTTTTTGGAACAGTTTCAGAAGAATAGGTATTAATTCTTCTTTAAATGTTTGGTAGAATTCCCCTGGGAAGCCATCTGGCCCTGGGCTTTTGTTTGTTGGGAGATTTTTGATGACTGCTTCAATTTCCTTAGTGGTTATAGGTCTGTTCAGGTTTTCTATTTCTTCCTGGTTCAGTTTTGGTAGTTGATACATCTCTAGGAATGCATCCATTTCTTCCAGATTATCTAATTTGCTGGCATATAGTTGCTCATAATATGTTCTTATAATTGTTTGTATTTCTTTGGTTTTGGTTGTGTTCTCTCCTCTTTCATTCATGATTTTTTTTTTTTATTTGGGTCCATTCTCTTTTCTTTTTGATATGTCTGGCCAGGGTTTTATCAGTCTTGTTAATTCTTTTAAAGAAACTGCTCCTAGTTTTGTTGATCAGTTCTACTGTTCTTTTGGTTTCTATTTCATTGATTTCTGCTCTGATCTTTATTATTTCTCTTCTCCGGAGGGGTTTAGGCTTTATTTTGTTGTTCTTTCTCCAGCTCCTTTAGATGTAGGGTTAGGTTATGTATTTGAGAACTTTCTTTTTTCTTGAGAAAGGATTGTATGGCTATATACTTTCCTCTTAGGACTGTCTTTGCTTCATCCCAAAGATTTTGAAGAGTTGTGTTTTCATGTTCATTTGTTTCCATGAATTTTTTTAATTCTTCTTTAATTTCCTGGTTCACCCATTCGTTCTTTAGTAGGATGCTCTTTAGCCTCCATATATTTGAGTTCTTTCTGACTTTCCTCTTGTGATTGAGGTCTAGTTTCAAAGCACTGTGGTCTGAAAATATGCAAGGAATGATCCCAATTTTTTGTACCAGCTGAGATCTGATTTGTGACCTAGGATGTGATCTATTCTGGGGAATGTTCCATGGGCACTAGAGAAGAATGTGTATTCTGTTTTTTTTGGGATGGAACGTTCTGAATATATCTGCGAAGTCCATTTAGTCCAGTGTGTCATTTAAAGTCTTTATTTCCTTGTTGATCTTTTGCTTAGATGATCTGTCCATTTCAGTCAGGGGGTGTAAAGTCCCCCATTATTATGGTATTGTTGATATGTTTCTTCGTTTTTGTTATTACCTGGCTTATATAATTGGCTGCTCCCATATTAGGGGCATAGATATTTACAATTGGATAGACCCCTTAAGTATCATATAGTGTCCTTCCTCATCTCTTATTATAGTCTTTGGTTTAAAATCTAATTTGTCTGATATAAGGATTGCCACCCCAGCTTTCTTTTGGTGTCCATTAGCATGGTAAAT